CTAGGTCAATTGGCATAACAAAGTTTATTAAGAAAATGTTCTGCATCCTACTTCGGTGAGTGGCGTCTGGGGTCTTAAAAGCTTGCAAGTGGCCATCCAAGATGCAGGAATTGGTCCCAAATACCTGGAGTAGAGGAGAATGAAGAACACCAAAAACACAAGGAAGGTGGTAGCCCAAGAGACAGAAAGGCCCCATAAACCGGAGACTTCATCAGCCTGAGACCAGAAGAACTAGATGGTGTCCAGCTACCACCAATGACCGCTCTGACAAGGAACACAACAGAGAGTCCCAGATGGAGCAGGAGAAAGATGGGGTGCAGAACTCAAATTCTAGTAAGAAGACCAGACTTAATGGTCTGACTGAGACTGGAGGAACCCCGGAAAGCATAGCCGCTGGATTCTCTATCAGCCCAGAACTAAACAATTTCCGAGGCCGACTCTTCAGACAGGGATTGGACTGGACTGTGTGACATAAAGTGATACTCATGAGGAGTGTGCCTCTTAGCTCAAGCAGATACAAGAGACTAAATGGGCAGCTTCTGTCAGGAGGTAAGATGGGAAGACAGGGCTAAGAGCAGGTTGAATGGACATGGGGAATCAGGGTTGGAAGGGGGGAGTGTGCCGTCACAGTATGGGGAAAGCAATCAGAGTCACGTAACAGTGTATGTATTAATTTTTGTATGGGAAAAAATTAAAAAAAATGAAGCCATAGAAATGCTCTATTTGCTGGACATGAGCAAATGCAGTAGTGTCTTTTTTTGGTGTGACTGGTACTATGGTTTTTAGGAACCAAATAAAAACCATGGAGGATTTTTGGTCCAAGGAGATGTATGACTGCAGAATATTTTTTAAAAGTTAAATACTAATTCAAGTAGTAAGTGGTATTGTTCTTTTCTAAGACTGGTATTCTTACAATTTTAATTTTGTTCTAAATATTGTTTGTCCTACTGTACAATTAGTTTTTATTTGGTAATTATTGTTTGTTTTGATTTTACAGGTGATGTTATTTCTCTTATGACTTCTCGCTTAATTCTACCTTAGAAATTATCTAACCAACTCTCGCATTTTATAGATGAGGAAATTGAGGCATGGAGAAATCAGTTGATTTTTCCTAACTTTAATAATAAAAAATAATATTACTGAAAGGATATTTTCAGTTATAGTACTTCAGATTTCCTCTTAATGCTAAACTTTAAGACTTGAATTATTTTGTATCTCATGATGTTAAAGTTGTCTTCTAAAATTTATAACATTGAAAGCTTTAAGATAATAGATTTTTCCCTCCTTTTTATTTTAAATACAAATGTAAGATACATGACAAATAGCTGGTTAAGACAAAGAAACACAAAAGCCTTAAAATTCTCAATTTCATTGTACTAATTTTTAAAAATTACTAAAAAAACTACGTACTCTTTAAAATGTAAGCAATTTTTAATGTAGTTTTATCATGAGATAGCAATTTATATCCATTATTTCTTTTAACAGGTTGAAGAAATATGGATACTGTCTCTGAACTGGGCACTGTTTTTGCCAGCTTTCTCATCTGTCAGGTTCTTTTCCACTTTGTAAGTTCTTGGTTTTCAGCAAAAGTTTCTTGTTTTAATGATCTCAGCTTGGAAAAGAAGATTGACTGGAACTCAAGGTAAAGCATATAAAAATGTAACTAATTAATTAAAAAAAAAAAAACTAGTTTTGTGACATAAGGTAGCTATCTAAATATCTCAAAAAAGTATTTTTCCTTGAGGATGTAATAAAATTTAAGGTCACTTTTTTAATTTGATCTTAGGAGTAAAAGGAAAGAAGTAGATAGATGTCATACAAAACATTTTGAAAAATTCTTATACTGAAAGGTATTAAGATAAAATTATACTTTCTTGGTAAGTGTGGGAAGGTTAAAGTTAGACACCAGCTGCCTGTTTGAGACTACTATTTTGTCTTCTTTTCTGAAATATTTAAGATAACAAACACATGTTCTTTGGAAGTGATAACAGAAGAAAACATGCCTTGGTGTTGTGAGTAGCCTATATATAGTACTGACTGGCTTAGGGCAGTTAAACTCTACTCACCACAGAACACAGAATATGATCAGTGCATCCGTGTCTCTCTTTTAATATACTTTTCATTAGAATTCAGAGCCCTGCAGAAAGTATTCTTTTGCTATGTAATTCTAAAGTTAAAAATTGTCTTTTAACTTTTTTTTAAATGGAAAAAGAACAAGATATCTAAGTGTCTCAGTCATCTAGTGCTGCTGTAACAGAAATAGAAGTGGATGGCTTTAACAGTTTTTTCTCTCTCAGTCCGGTAGGCTAAAAGTCCAAACTCAGGGTGTCAGCTCCAGGGGAAGGCTTTCCCTGTCGGCTCTGGAGCAAAGTCTTTGTCATCAATCTTCCCCTGGACTAGGAGCTTCTCTGTGCAGGAACCCCGGGTCCAAAGCACCTGCTCTGCTCCCAGCGCTGCTTTCTTGGTGGTATGAGGTCCCCGTGTCTCTCTGCTCACTTCTCTCCATTATATTGCGAAAGAGATCAGCTCAAGACACAATCCAGTCTTACAGATTGGCTCCTGCATCATTAATGTATCTGCCACCAATTCCAACTCATTAGCATCACAGAGGTAGGATTTACAACACATAGGAAAATCACATCAGATGACAAAATGGTGGACAATCACACAATACTGGGAATCATGGCCTACCCAAACTGATACACATTTTTGGGGGATGCAGTTCAATCCATGACACGAAGGATGTAGAAATATGCTGGAGTTGTTTGATAATTTAGCTATGCTTTTTTTTTTTCCTGCAACTCATTAATCTCTCATAAGGTTTCAAACACAAAATGACTCTGATGACTGCTTCACTTCCTTTAAAAAATTTCATGTGCTCAGACATCCCTGTGCATTTGCAAACCTCAGTGAATGGTAGCAGCTATGGGAATATTTTTTGTTATTTAGTTGAACTTAATGCTAACTATAAAATGAATTCAGCAAGTCTTTAAAATTGCTATAGTTGCTTTTTTATTGACATTTAGAATTAAAGAACTTCTGCCAAATGTCTACGTATTTGAGAAAGATCATATCTGACCTGAAATCCCCTATCTTTGAGTTAAATTGTTTAGTAGGTATCCACTTTTTTTTCGTTTTTTTTTTTTTTGTAAATGTATAGGTAACAAAATGTTTGCCTTTTCAATAGTCTTCACATGTACAGTTCAGTGACATTAAATATGTTCATCATGTTGTTCAACCATCACATCATCATTAACCATTCCTGAATTTTTCCATCATCCTTAGAAGACTCTCAGTGTTCCCTAAGCATTGTGTCTTCCTTTCCAGCACCATCCCGCCCACCTATGGTAACCAGTAATAAACCTTGATCTCTATATACTTGCCTGTTCTAGATATAAGTGAGATCATGCAATATTTGTCTTTCCTGTTACTGACTTATTTCACTCACCATAATGTTTTCAAGGCTTATCCGTGTCCTAGTAAGTATCATGACTTCATTTCTCTTTATGGCTGAATGATATTCAATTTATGTATGTATATTTTGTTTATCCGTCTATCTATTGATGAACATTTAGCCTGTTTCCACCTTTCAGGCATCCACTTTTATAACTCATGATGTGAATAAGACTTTAGTGGTTTTCCTGTGCACCTTATGCTGACTTGTCTGGTTCATACATGCTACAGTTCTTGCCCAAAAAGCAAGAATTATTTCTCCACATATGTTTGAAAAATGAGAGGTTTTTTTTTTGTCTTAAGAGTAGCACACATTGTATTGTTGAAATGTACTGTACTAAAGGTACTAACCATTATTTGTTTTAAACTGTTTCTGACATGTGAAGATACATGAAATGGCAGAAAAGAGAAGAGTGGGAAGAAGGGGAATGCAGTCTCTGCTGCTAATTTAAGCTCTCCATTTCTTTTCCACTGTAGTTAGGATAGGCTAAAGGGTTTTGAATCTTGTTGTTAGGTGCCACTGAGTTGGTTCCAACTCATAGTGACCCTACGTACAACAGAACATAACACTGCCCGGTCCTGCATCACCTTCTCGATTGTTGTTATGTTTGAGTCCACTGTTGCAGCCTCTGCGTCAGTCCATCTCATTGAGGGTCCTCTTCTTTTTTGCTGACCCTTTACCAAGCGTGATGCCCTTCTCCAGGGACTGGTGCCTCCTGATAACATGTCCAAAGTATGTGAGACAAAGTCTCGCCATCCTCGCTTCTAAGAAGTATTCTGGCTGTACTTCCTCCAAGACAGATTTGTTTGTTCTTTTAGCAGTCAATGGTATATTCAGTCTTCTTCGTCAACACCATAACTCAAAGACGTCAATTCTTCTTTGGGTTTCGTGATTCATTGCTCAGCTTTCCCATGGGTAGCTGCACATCAAAGAAACAGGAAGGGTAGAGAGAGGTAGATGCAAACAAAAATGAAACAAGACAATGAAATTAAAAAATGCTTTACATTATTATTATTTTTCATTGTACTTTAGATGAAGGTTTACAGAACATACTAGCTTCTCATTAAACAGTTAGTACACATATTGTTTTATGACATTGGTGAACAACCCCAAGACATGTCAATACTCGCCCTTCTCGACCTTGGGTTCCCTATTACTATTACCAGATTTCCTTTCCCCTCTTGCCTTCTAGTCCTTGTTCCTGGGCTATTGTGCCCCATTAGTCTCGTTTTGTTTTATGGGGCTGTCTAATCTTTGGCTGAAGGGTGAACCTCCAGAGTGACTTCATTACTGAGCTAAAAGTGTGTCTGGGGACCATACTCTTGGGGTTTCTCCAGTCTCTCTCAGGCCAGTAAGTCTCATCTTTTTTTGTGTTAGAATTTTGTTCTACATTTTTCTCCAGCTCTGTCCGGAATCTTCTGTTCTGATCCCTGTCAGAGCAGTCAGTGGTGGTAGCCAGGCACCATCTAGTTGTACTGGACTCAGTCTGGTGGAGGCTGCGGTAGTTGTGGTCCATCAGTCCTTTGGACTAATCTTTTCCTTGTATCTTGTTTTCTTCATTCTTCCTTGCTCCCAAAGGGATGAGACCAGTAGAGTCTCTTAGATGGCTGCTCACAGGCTTTTAAGACCCCAGACACTACTCACCAAGGTAGAATGTAGAACATTTTCTTTATAAACTGTGCTGTGCCAATTGAGCTAGATGTTCCCCGAGACCATGGTCTCCACAGCCCTCTGTCCAGGCTTTACATTATTTAGTCTTATCACTGCCATAAAAGTGAGTTCCTATTTGATAAAGGAGTCTGGGATTATGTAAAATTCATTTAGCTATTCAAATGGTGTGTTCTCTATGTCTCTGTCTTTCTCCTAGTCTAGAATTACTCCTGCTTCCCACTCCAACTGTGAGGTGGAGAATGCAAAAAGGGAAAAAAATTGGCTACTATTTGAGTAAAGTACACATTTATCTCTTGAAACCTAGCCTCCAATATTGAAACAGGCAGATCAATACAACACACATAGTTCTTCCTAGTAATCAGGAAAAAGTCTCTGAACAAGGAGTGGTCGAAGCTATCTAATAGAAAAAAGACAGGAGGAAAAACCTTACCAGAAAATGTATGCTTGAGGGCTGATTAATTATAAATGAGAAATTGTTGTGTTTGTTGCTTTTTCTGAAAACTTACATACTTCTAGATTATATATAAAAATATAATCTTAAATTTAAAAATTTTTCTTAGTTATTTTTATCCTGTTGCTGTCATATAGCTTAGAAATTTCCATCGTACTGAAATACTCCTGATTTTAAATCTTCTACTCTAAAATTGAACTCACCTGTTTGAGTGATATCATTTCTATTGGTAATACTCAAACTATTTGTGAATGATTGAATCAGTAACTTTAAAGTACTGTTCTAAAATTGGTCACTAATTATTTCCTAGAAAACCAGTGTCTTTTTGTAAGCACAAATATCTTTTTTTTAATTGTACTTCAGGTGAAGGTTTACAGAACAAATAGTTTCTCATTAAACAGTAGTACACATAGTGTTTTATGACAATGGTTAACAACCCCACGACACGTCAACCCTCTCCCTTCTCAAACTTTTTTTTGGTGAAAATATACATAGCCAAAGATACACCATTTCAAAAATTTCTACGTGTACAGTTCAGTGACATCAACTACGCTCTTCCAGTTGTGCTGCTATTCTCCCTTTAGATGAAGGTTTACAGAACAAAATAGTTTCTCATTAAACAGTTAGTACACATGTTGACATATGACAATGGTTAACAACCTCACTACACATCAACACTGTCGTTACTCAACCTTGGGTTCCCTATCACCAGCTTTCCTGTCCCCTTCTGCCTTCTAGCCCTTGTCCCTGGACTGCTGTGCCTCATTAGTCC